ACAGAAGCACACCTCAAGCTACATTGGCCACCTAATGCAAAGAGCGGACAATTTGGAGAAGTCCCTGAGGCAAGGAAAGATGGAAGGCCAAAGGAGGAGGGGACGGCAGAGGATGAGATGGTTAGATAGCATCACCAAAGCAATGGGCATGAAACTGAGCAACCTCCAGGAGGCAGTGAAGGACAGGAAGGCCTGGCACAATATGGTTCATGGGGTCACGAAGAGTCGGACATGACTTAATGACTGAACAACAAAGGGAAGGGTCTATATGCAGGTGAGATTTACCCCATCCCCTTGTCTAATGGGATTCACCCAACTCAACGCATTTCTCGATTTCATCTCGCCTAAAAAAGTAGGGGACGCAACACGTGGTGGTTCTATAAACAGATGGAAGGGTGATGCGCCATCAAGTCATTGTTGACCACACAGACAGGTTTTCTCCATGATGATCTGTCCCTAACCTGGTCTTTCAGGTCTTCCAATGGTGATCTTATACTGCCAACCATCAAAGGCAAAGAATGATTATAGGAAATGAAGGAAGCTCCGTATGAGAACTACGCTGTGCTCCTGGAAGAAAGGGGAATTGCCAAGCTAACAAACGATCACAACCCTATTTTTCCTCCAAACACCGCAACTTCCAGAGTCTAAAACTTGTTGTGAAGGATTCTATTGGCTGGTCTACAACTGAATAAAATTTTGATTTGAAACTTGTTGCAGGTCCCCTACACCAGTTCTAACACGTTGAACCCGTAAGCAAGAGAATCAAGTATCTCCAGGGCAAAGGGTGGGTCAATTGTCTGAAAAAGTGGATCATTGGCTTGTGGTACAATTAGAAGGGATTTACCTCTGGAGATGAAAGGAAGAAGTTATGATATCATGGGTGGAGGCCATGATCCTCTGTGGGTGGAGGCCACTGTGGGCTATGAAGCATGGCTGGAGCCAGAAAGCATAAAAAGGAGAGATTAAATCCATGTACCTTAGCATACTCCATGAGGTCACTCCGTCCTCGGAAGCGGGTATAGAATTCAGGCATTCTCCAAGGAGCAATGACCTGCAGATACCATGGAAATAAAGTTTGTTACTGATGGCAGGAACCAACAGCCAGTTTGGTGTAGTGGTGAAGGCACCAGGCTAGAGACTGGGGGACCAGGAGTTCTAGTCCCACCTTAGGTAGAAAGCCAGCTGGGTGTTTCGGGCCAGTCACTCTCTCTCAGCCCTAGGAAAGAGGCAACGGTAAACCACTTCTGAAATCTTGCCAAGAAAACTGCAGGGCCTAGTCCAGGCAGTCGCCAGGAGTCAACAGTGACTTGAAGGCACCAAAAAAATGATGGCGATGGAGGAAGAATGAAAAATAGGGTCTTCTGGCTAGGTAAGAATCAGGTTCAACCTCAACCAGGCATTGAGTTAGTCCCTTCCTAGGCCACGTTGAGGTGACAAACTTCAAAGCAGTGTCATGCCATCGTTAAGGGTCATGGCTTCTTCCCCACCTCTTCTCCATCCAAAAAATGTGGAGGGTTCTTGTTGGATCTGAAATTTGATGGCAACGTGTTTACTTGCCTTAGGTGTCTCTCTGTTACTACCTGCTTAAAGGTCTTGGCAGAAAGGGATGAGAAGGTGAAAAAAATTGGGGAAGGAAGGAAGGAGAAAAGAGAAAGAGAGAGAGAGAGAGAGAGAGAGAG